CTCTAATCGAAAAGGAGTCCTTTCACCGTTCGTTATTTGAAAAAAAAATAAGCTGTTTTCAACTCTTATCTTAAAGTTTTTATGAGTTAAAGGAAAAAAGCAATTTAAAATAAACTTCTTTTTTGTTAGTAAATTTTTTTATGCTCGTAATTCAGCAATTTTTTTTATGTAGATACACCATTGTTAAGTATTAGCTTAAATGTTTAATTTCTGTATTACAAAGATATATTTGCTTTCTTAATTTCAGACCTTAATCGTCTCGATAAATCGCCACTCCTCGCCAACGGCTACAATCCCCCGCCCATCAATCACATGGCTTTCATGCAAATGAATCATCATCCCGGCACGGCGTTAATGTCACCCGGTATGCCGCCGCATGGCCTACACGCACGACCTGATAGTCAAATGTTGAAAGCTGCCGCTCAAGGTGGTATGTCCGCGGCGAATATGGATGCCTTGGCGCGCTCCGGCATTTGGGAGAATTGTCGCGCCGCCTATGAGGATATTGTGAAACATTTGGAACGGTAAGAATATTTGTCATATTATTTTTCTTTGCTTGAACCTTAAAGCATCCACAGAATAGGTTAATAAGTAACATAACATAAGGGCTAGTGCACACAAAGAGCTTAACGGTGAGTTGAGAGACGAATTGATCAACGAGGTGAGAGGCACAGATAGAGCGTGCATTCGCACACCAAGCGTGTTTTAAGCGAAGTTCGGACCTGAATGTGCTATATTTGCTCTCTCAGCTCGCTGATAAGTTCACCATTCAGCTCTGTGTGCGCTTGGCCTAAAAGTTTGACTTCTTTGATCTTATTTTCTGCCTTCTCTGTTCACCTTCATCTTTCAGCCTTCGTGAGGAACGCACCGATGAGCGCCAACAAATGAACAGCGGCGGCGGTGTCAACGAGCCAAAGATCCGCGATTTAAGCTCTCGAAATTGTAAGTTCCTGCGTCCTGCACAGCAACTATTACCGCTACTTTTAAAAGCTATTATTCCTAAACTTTAATGCCTTTTATACTTTATTTTACTATTCTTATAGCTGGTTCCCCGAACCGTCACAGCCCCGTGCTGAATCTCTCCAAGTCCGGCGGCAATACGGACCAAGGCAGCAATTGTGATGATCGCAGTGAACGCAGCGAAATGCATTCGCCGGTACATTCGGTGCGCGAGGGTAGTGTCGGTGGCGGCAGTCAGGGTGTGATTGGCGTGGAGGACGACGATGACGAAAATCTGAGTGATGATAATGCGTCAGAAGTCGATGAACGTTGCAACAAAGATGACGAAGGTGAGTGCACTTTGTTTTACATCAATAAAACTGTAGAAGCGCGATAGGGCGGGACGCCACAGCACACAAAAGCTGTTTGCCACACTGACTAATGTTTTTTTAACGCATTCCATTTTCTTCTTCTTCTTTTTCTCCTTTTTCCTTTTCTTCTTTATTTGCTCGCCCTTGTTTGCGCAGACTTGAGTGATACTGAGCGTGATAATATAACATCGTCGACGGCGGCGTCGTCACAACGTCATCCACTGCACCATCACCTACCACATCACCCCCACCCGCACCCACACCACCACCACCACCACCAGCTGCACCATGGCGCCAGCAATGCTGTAGGTGTCGGTGAACGTGGCGTGCCAGGCGGACCCGGCGGTGGCGGTGTAGGTGTCGGTGTCGGTGTTGGTGGCCTTGGCGTGGCTGCTGCAGCCGCTGCCGCCGCCGCTGTTGGTCTCAACGAACGCGACGTTGTCAACTCACACGCGGCACTACAACAATCTCCCGTCTCCACACACAATGCCGCTGCCGTGGCAGCGCTGCAACATCATCACCAGCGTGCTCTGAACTATTCACAATTGGCTGCGGCGGCTGCTGTTGCCGGCGGTGCTGCTGGCGGTGGGCCAGGTGCGAATTCTGGCCTCGCGAATGGGCCTGGCTCGGGTGGCGCGCTTGCGGGCACGGAAGCTTTGTTGGCGGCCAATGACGCCACTGCAGCTGCTGCGTTGGCCGGTGGCCTCGCGCTTGGCCCACTCGCTATGGATCCGCACGGTGCAACCTCATCTACCGAGACGCTGCTGCGCAACATACAAAGCCTGCTGAAGGTGGCTGCGGACAATGCGCGTCAACAGGAGCGACAAATCAGCTACGAAAAAGGTGAGAAACATTTGAATGGCTTTTGGAAAAATAGAAGAAAGGGCACAAAAGACATCAAGACAAGTTTTGCTTTGTCGTCCATTGTTGCTGTTGGCAGCAGACGGTCGCTATTAGCCTGTTGAGGCAAGGCGCTTTTAAACCTTTTTATATATTTTATGTTTTTTTTTTTGGCAGCCTTAATTTAGCTTTTGCGCTGCCGCTTTGATCTTTGCGCTTTGTCAATAAATCTTTAATCAACTTTCTCCGTCTTTTTTCTTCTTTCTTTTTCCACTTGTTATCTGTAGCCGAGCTTAAAATGGACGTTTTGCGCGAACGCGAAGTCAAAGATTCATTAGATCGACAATTAGCCGATGAACGGAAACTTAGAGGTGAGTTACAACAACAAAAATTATATTAAAACAAAGGCACTGTAAAATCAAAAAAGAAATTGTTTCCATTGCAACTGCAGTCGCTTGCAGCTAAAGCGTTTAGAGATACTTTAAAGATACAAAATAGCAAGTAACTAGTTGTGTATTAGGGTGCATCACCCCCCCATCAAAAAAAAAATCGGCACTGGTTTCCATCAGAATAATAAAATTTATTATATTTTACGACTTCCGTCACTATAATAAGAATTAGGTGAGCTGGACCGATTTGAAAATGTCTCCAAAAATCTCATTATTTTGATTGCGTTGATAAAATTTTGAAAAATGTTTATGCAGGCCTTTTAAGCTTAAACTCTTTATTGATTTTTTTTTTGAAAAAAAAAATATATTTTTTAAAAATTTATTTCATTTATAAAGAACGTATGCCCAATTTCACCCATTAATTTTAAAGCTTATCAGACTGTTAAAATTTAAAATGACTAATTTTCCAAAACTTTTAGGTGCATCCGGGCATTAATGTTTGGAAATCTTTTAAAATTGATGCAGCTCACGTAAATCTTAATATATTTTTTGATGGAATAAATTATTTAATTCCGGCAGAAAAACCGCGACTTTTTTTTTAGTTAGGCACCCTAATGTTTATACATACATCTAAAGTAGATATGTACATACATATGTTTATATATAGCTCTGCGCTGTTAAGTAATGTCAGATCGGTTACGCTGACAACATTTTGTGCGGCTGTTAATTTACATTTTATGCTAATTTGAGGTTAAATGAAGTCAGATGTAGATTGTGGGCTGGAGTTTAGCTAAGACAATGAGAAAAGCACTTCCGGAACACAAATAATTACAATAACACGGCGGGGTTCTCCGAGTCAATCGGCCATATTATGGTTGTCGACGTCGACGTCGATGTTATGTTTTCTTCAAACTCTCCCAAGTCCAAAGACAGCTACGATGACCACAGTGTTTTTGCGGAAAGGTGCTCCTCGCAAAGCTACAGTGGCCAGCGAAACCAAAGTTGGACTGATGAAAGCTATTTTCTGGCGAAAAAATTACATTCGACAACCATAATAGGGCCGAATATTTACAGTTTTTGATAACAATCCCGGCAATAGTGTACACAGAGTTGGAAGTTGACATTGGAGCTCAGTTTTCAGTTGGATATACGGAGTAAGGCAGCCGCTGTGGTGTACTCGTTAGCAGTGCGTGCTACCATTCTGCAGGGCTTGGGGTCAAGTCCGTTTCAAAAAAAAAAAGAAAAATTTTTTTTTTCTAAGAGCGCTGACTCCATGCCGTCCATTGAAATGTTTTCATGCTCCTTTTAATCTGTTTTAAATCTCCATGATTTACGAATAAACCTGAGTACATTGGTGGGTGTCAAAGAGCGCAGGTGTTCGCCTCTCAACAAATCGCGGCTAAATGTCTCGTATCTAATTCTTGCAAAGGCGGGGAAGAAGCACAATGGGCAAATGTAGTTGTCATGTACGCCTATCACAGTCAGGTGCTTACGCCACGTGAAGTGACCAGGCAGCAGTCCAAAAAGTTATCTGCAGTCCCGTCTGCTCAGTGAGAGCAAAAAACTAGATAGACCTTCTGAGATTTAAATCAACATAAGTTTTGCCCACATGCATCCCCCTCAATACCTTCCCAGTCATTGTTCGGATGGTGGCTTCGATGCCCGAAGTGGGGTGTACTATAACTGGTTGCGGACCGAGGAATGCTTGTCTGAGCCAACTCTGGCTAAATTGTCAGCTGTCTCATTAACAGGTACTCCCGAGTAACCTGGCACCCAGAGGGTAGGCCAATGCCTTAAGTGCAGATTGGTTGTCACTGTGGAGACGGCCTTCTCCTCCAGGATTACGAATAGCTCAGCCTGGAAGACCGAAGCATACTCCTCAAGAGAAAAGCGAAGCTTATCCCCATTAGCTTCGATAAAGACGTCAGATCCTGACCCAGTGTCAGTTTTGGAGCCATCAGAGGAGACTCAATAATGTGTGAGTCCCGGCTCTGGTATTAACTAGCATTCTGCCTTAGGGAACTCAATATTGCATAATCTCTTTAACAATGGTAATGGTGGAGTACTATCCTATATATAGCACTGAAACGACATAAGTCGCTCAGTGTTATACCTACATCTGTTTCTTTTTAAACTGCAGATGGCCTTTAAGGCTTCCTCACGTATGAAGACACAAAGTGATGCTAAGTGAAGAAGTGCATCAAGAGCAGCGCCAGATGTTGTAGAGAAAGCTCCCGTAGAGCACGCGGCAATAGTACTTTGAAGTTTAGCAAGCAGACTTCTCACGCTATTGATTGAGATTGATTATGGGTCTGATCATAGAGGTATAAATCCAGAGGGTTCCCTTTGGTGGCTGACCCCATGTTTTGCCAAAGACCTATTTACATTGCCAATATGCTGCCAATGCTTCGGAGGTCCACGATAATTTTTTTATCCAGAATTACTCCTAGATACCTCATTTCGGGAGAAGTTTGAATTGTGACTCCTTTAAGTTTAAGGGGAATGATACCATCCAACCTTCTCTTTCTAGTGAAGAGCACAACACTAGCTTTGGTTGGGTTAGCGGTGAGCCAATTTTTCATCACACTAAGTGTCAATCGTATTGAGTACTGTCTGCGCTTTCCTGAAAACTCCCGGCAGAGATGGGGCCCTGACTAGACTCAGGGACAGCGTGTCGTTGGTTGCCTCAAAAACTGGACAGTATTGAGTTTCAGATTACTGCGCCTACGAAATGGCTACCAGTAGCTTCTTCTGTACCTGCATTCGCTCAAGGGATGACGGAGGAGGGCGTGTAGACTGGAGGAACTGTTTAACGGATGAATAAAAACTTGGAGGTAGGACTGATGAAGTTGTCATCTTCCGGGAGCTCCACATCAGCACTAGGTACAGGCTGTTGGACTGCTGCAGGCGGAAATAAATAGCTGTCATTAAGGAAGAGTGTGACTTCAATTAGGGTGGTAAGCATATGCTCTGATTTCCAGGCGGCTCTCAATGCCCTGGACGCTATGTATGGTGGTGCACTCGAAGCGTCAAGTAATGTCTGACCGCCCTCTGCCTGCGTCGGAGTATTTTCTAGTAGCGCTTATTTGGGCTCCGCAGAACCCCTGTAACGTTGCCGCCGGATAGGAAGTAGCTGCGGACACCTCTGTCCTTCTTTGGATTACTCTCGGGTGATTGATTCTTTTCTAAGCAACTGCCAAGGTAATAGCGAGGTGGAATCACCCCAGCACATTCTATTAGACTGCCCAGTCGTTGCGAGGTTAAAGTGGAAACATTTTGATTCACACTTCCTGGCTAACACTGAGGAGCTCTCGTGCATTAACCTAAGTAATGAGTAAGTAATGCTCTCCGTTCAGATTTTCGTGGTATTACAAAAACGATCTGTTCTCCTTTTCCCAGAGCGTCCCTTATCTGTGACAATCACTGTAACCTTACCTGCTGTCCGTTTCAAATTAAATATATTCTACATATCCACCCATCGGAGTGCAATGATATTTTATGGAACATTTGTTTATGCTCGTTTGCCAATTTCACACAGCATGTGCAGGCACTGGGGTTGGGCTGATCTGCCTTAGACAAGGCCACTTATCGATTGATCCTCGGCTGTACAATCAATGTCTACCTCCATATGTCTCCTTTATGATTTTTTATTTCCTTTAGTTTCTTAGTTATGTCTCTGTAAGTGATTGTCACAATTAGTTAATGCATTTTGTAGCATTCAGTTGCCAACAATTAACTGATATAAAATTACTAGCTACGTACATATGTCAATTCAATTCCACATACTATGTAAGTATGTCGGCAGCCAACAACATAACGCATGACAAATATCCATAAGTAGTTGCATTAATTTATAAGAACATACGAGTATGTATGTATATATGTAAATATTGTTGACGCATCAATTGATTAATATTGAATTCCTTCCATGGTCACTGCAAGGAGACAAATCAGCGCCAATCAAGCGAATACTAATGTAAATTGACTTAAATATCGATGACACCTGATATGATTAAGTAGTAGATGAACAAACAAAAGGAGCACAATAAAATAACAACAACAAAAAAGTAACATTAAAAAACATTGAAAAACAGTGGACATGGCGTCACGGCAAGTCAGCTGCACAAACAGAAAAAGTAACAAATCCCGAGTGAATGCCAGAGATGCAGAACGCCGCGAAAAAAGCAGTAGTACTAAAATCGCTGCTCTTTGTTTTCAATTTTGTGATTTCTTTTTATTGCTTTTCAAAAGAAATCACAATTCGAATGAATTTAATATCATTTCATTAGTCAATTACAGTTGAATGGATTTTTACGATTCGCGCGCATAGGATTTCATTTTAGCGATGGAGGATGGAGGAGGCCTTTGTGGGAGAGAGGAAAGTGTATTTTTAAGATTGTTTGGAATTATTCTAAATTTTTATGGGCACACTGTCACAAATACTTTTGCTTTTCAACAATTCGCGCTTTCAATTGTATTTATGAATGTATGTATGTATGTATGTATGTATTTTAAGCAGCTCGCCCCTAACTCTATCGGCTGGCCTATCTCGAGCCCTCTTTAGCGTCATTCTTATCATTAAATCAGCCACAAATGCAAAAAAAAAAAGCCGGCAACGAAATCTCGTATACAAGCCGGGAATGTTTGTGCATTTGCAACATATGTTGTGGTTATCGCGCTCGTATGCTGGCTCCATTCTGTTGGCAGCGAGGAGCAGCGAGTTCAAATTGGGTCCAAACAATTCGCTGCTGACAAGTAAACATACAAATTGCATGTAAGCGAACATCTAATTGCAACTAATAATAACAACTTCAACAATGCAACTTCAACAAGAAACAAGCTGATTTTTTTAAATTTAATTTCCTAGCCATTGCATGCAACGCGCCCATTCATTCTTTTAATCGCAAATTTGCTCATTCTTAGCGAGAGTTACAATGGCAATTGCAATGTACAAGATGTAACAAACGAAAAGAGAAGAAAAAGAAAAACGAAAGTTAGAAATTGTGGAAGCGCTTTAGCAAGCTCGCTGAAGGCAGGAAGAGAGGGTTTGAGTAATAAAAATTTCATACATATGCATATTTTCAGTTGAAATTTGTGTACCCACTGCTCTAACGAAATGGTTTTATGTTCGGACACTTCACAACAGTAGACAGTAGTATAACACGTAGGCAATCGCATGAAATGTTCTCAGGGCTTAGCTCGCCAGCCCATACAACCGCCTCTGCAGAAAGCCCCATCTTACCAAGATAATCTTACTAAGATGCTATCTCAGTTTGCAATGTCCTGTCAGATAGTCTATCAGAGTAATCAGAACCTCCTAACTAAGATTCAGAATCTTTGATTGCAAACTGAGAATCCTTATACTTACCACGGAAAGACATTCAAAGACATCAAAACCCTAATGTCCGGGAACCCACTAAAGGGTGTCCCGGCTGTGTGTCCTTAGTTAGTTCAATACAGTTTCGCAGTTATCCAAAGGCCTTGATGTAGTTTTAAACATTTTCATAAAACACGCAGGCGCATATTTCAGTTGTAAAGATCTCAGCCTGAAATATTACTTTGGAGCCAGATACAATGCCATCCTCGATGTTGGGTCCATCGTAATGAATGAGAGTCCTTGTTAATAATTTCGGTAGCATTTAGAAACTTGATGACGGGAACGTCAAGGAATGGTCTTAAAATTACCAAGTGCTCATGAAGGGCTGCACTCCTAATGCTCGCTAAGTTGCTGAGTCGCAAAGCGCTTCGGCAAGCCTGTTTTTCAATTAGTACAGGTAGAGGTGATATACCTGTGAAGATTCGCAGTGCTTTCGTTGAGCAACGCGCGTGTAGTGGCTTCACAGACCGATCGGTATACCTTTTCCAGGATGGCACAAGTTTTCTTCGATTTTGGCCAACAAGTCAGTGCTTCAGACGTGATTTTCGGTTTTGTCACTGTATCCCTAAGTTTTATTTTTGGTGGTAACAACTATTTTATGAGAGTTCTAACTTAGCCTTTAGCCCAGGCTTGTGCCTAGATATATCGCATCTTGCGATAACTCAATCTGCATCCCTTTGCATTAGGAATACGCAAAGGGCCATCTGCTCTCACTACAATGCGTTTTCAATTACCTCAGTAGTAGGTATCCCTGATGTGAAAATCAAGTAGTTTTTCTAAAGTTTTGATTAACCCGTTTAGGGTATGAATACAACCTCTATCTTCTTCCATGACAGTCGTACGTGGGCAAGTAAGTAAGTAGTGGACTTGTGTGCAGTATTTTAATTAGTGGTCCAGCCATGCATCATCTGACATGTCATCTGGACCAGGTATGTAATAAATGTTGAGATGGCCCACTGGATTACTGATGAAACTTCGAAACTAACGTTCATGACCTCCCATTGGCACACAAAGCGCGTGGTGTGATTGTTTCAGAACGCAAGAGAGTTCAGTCCAGGAAGTTGGCTTCCAATAAAAGTCTGGCTGCTTTATCCAGAGAGTCAGTCCTCATCCGACTTTTTAAGAGTGCACAAGCCTTTCCGATGGTTCAGTTTGGGGTCCGCTGTAGGGAAGCAATTTTTCTCGAGTACTCGCGCTACTTAGCCGCCCTTTTAGATATCCTGAAATCAAAGCAGTCCGGACCACTTCATTAGCAGTTCAGTCTAGCCTTCTCCTATGGAAGAGTTTCCTTGAGTTTTGGCTTAGCTCACTGAAATCATTGTCCCATTATGGAAACTCAATCTGAAATGGAGATTTGTTGACCTTCATTGGGTCATACTCTTCGAAGGCTGATCTAAAGACATATTGAGGTTGCCTTGATTCAAACTCCAGAGGTGTGGGCATTAGTGATTGCTGTCGTAGACACTGACACTGATATCTCATTTCATAAATACCTTCAGCATTTGGAAAAAAGGTTCATTTTTCTTTTTAAGAATGTATCAATAACTTTTAATAATAAATTGATGAATTGCCTCTCTCCTAAATGGAAAATAACCCTTGTAAAATCACTGTGCGACAATGACAGAAATGTTTGTTGGAAGGAATTTCGACAATCAATCCTTAAACAATTTTGTCATAAATTCGTTCATTGGGTATAAAAAGTATTAGCTGCAACTAAAGTTGACTTGTTTTAGTTTCTATTTTTAGCTTTTCTTCAGCAATATTTTTAGCTTGCTTAATAAGTATTTTCTTACTAGATTTTTCCTAACTACCTCAATTATCATAATTTGCCATATTTTTTATATATATTTTTTTTAGTTAGTATCTAAAGAATTTAATTTTTTTCTGCTATGAAAGCTACTCCTGCCCTTGACTCTTGCAAACTGCACTTAAGTAGATACACAAAGTTCCTCATTCATTTTTATGTAGATACGATAATTTATATTATTTCTGAGTGGGTTGTCATCACTCGCCTGCTGTCTTCGACCAACTTCGCATTCGCATTTAGTTAGGTGTGTCAATGCGAATTAATTTGTTGTCTGCTTGGTGAAACGGAAATGGAGACATCGAAGGGTTTTGCTTGGTGTTTTTTTTTTTTTTGTTTTCATTTTGTTGATGTGCATACTGCCTACATACGTTTTTAATCTGTCGTGGGAGATGATCCGTGGCTTTGCAAAGTTGACAATATTATTGAAGTAGAATTAAAGAGAAAGACACAACTAAAAATTCACTACCAGTTCTTAAGGGGCAATTTGTTTTAACAAGCAAAAATGCTCTTACATTACGTGTAAATTAAAAATTCATGTTCACTTTTTAATGAGCAAAAATTTCTGTCCAGTTTTTGACTGAACAAAAATTCAAGCCCACGATTTTTAACAAACAAAAAATTATGTCCAGTATCGATGTCAAGTTTTATAGCAAACAAAAATGTATGCCCAATTTTTTTATGGACCCAAAATTTTTATCCACTTTCCACTTTTTACTAACCAAAGTATTATTTTCTGTTTTTGAACGACCAAAAATTCAAACGAAAAATTCATTTTCGGTTATTTAATAAAGAAAAATTCATGTCCCGTTTTTTATGGAAAAAATTGATGGCCAGTTTAGGAATGGCCAAAATTTTAGGGCTCGCTTTTTAACAAGCACAACGTTTAAAAATTTGTGTTAATGTTAAAAAAATTCATGACAAGTCCACCGTTTTTAACAAACAAAAAATTAAGCCAAGTTTTCAATGACCAAAAATCTTTGTCAAGTTTTATGGAAAACAAAAATATATGCCCAATTTTGTAAGGACTAAATTCTTAACCACTTTTTACTGACCAAAATTGTATGTTCTGTTTTTGGGCGACTAAAAACTTAGAACCACTGTTTGAGTTACCAAAATCTATGTCCAATTTTTTACAGGCGAAAAATTTAGCTTCGGTTCTTTAACAAAGAAAAATTCGTGTCTTTTTAACAAACACAAAGTTTAAAAATTTGTGTCCATTTTTTAGGGGCCAAAAATTCATGACCATTCCTTAACAATCAAAAGTATATGTCTAGTTTTCAATTGGCAAGAAATTATGTCTAGTTTTTAATGGTCAAAAATTTATGGCTAACTTTTTACCAAAGATGTATGCTGGCCTCAGAATTTTTTAAAGACGCCAAAGGTTTTTAAGCCGGCTCCGGAAACTGGAGAGACTTTGAGTAAATTTTTAAGATGTTTTAAATATTCTTCTAAGATAACATATAAATTCATATGCAAACGCTAAAAACATTCCCACCGACCTGTGTAAAACCTTCTGATGACCCAACGTCCACACATCGCCCTCTCAATCGCCGATCACACTAATCCCCTATGACTTCCAATGACTGACATGATTCGTCTGTAAATTGCATTAGAACGAATTGACGACAACATTCGATTGAACGTAATTGAATTACATAAGTGAGGCCCACACGCAAAACGGATTCGCAGTTGATTGCGTCGCGCAAAACGGCGAACGTCAAAGAGCCGGCGAGCATGCGAACGAGCGAACGAGCGATCAGTCGATCGAATGAATGATCAAATGAACGGACAGACAGACGAACGTACTATCGGTCGGCAGCAATCAATGGCAAATCAGCAGCAATAACAAATAATCTGAATAAATAGTATAACAACAACAACAACAACAGCAACAGTTGTTGTGTTCAACAGTCACCCGTCATATGCCGCCCGCACACGCATTACATAAAAGGGGATGCTGATTGAATGGACGGACGATGATCGGCCGCTCGGTCGGTCAGTTGATTGAATGGATGAATCGCTGGTTCGTTGGCTGGTTGGTTGGTTGGTTGCAGGCGCGCTGCAGTTGCATATTGAATTACAAATTCCTGTTTTTTTTCTTTCTACTTAAATAATTTTTTGTGTTTTGGCAAACAAGATTTTTCATTGTTTTTCTGTGCTTTGGTTTTTCATTGCAGTTTTGTACCAGAAGCGCTACCGTCGCGAGCGTAAAATGCGCATACGCTACCAACAGCAGCTGGACGGCGGCAAACGAAAATCGACACACCCATCGAGTGCGGGTGGCAATAGTGGCGGCAATGGCAGCAGCAGCAGCGGCGGCGGGGGTGGCGGCTGTAGCGCTGCTGGGCCGAATGGCAACGAGGAGGGCCGCAGCAGTGTCGGCGGTGAATGCAAAAATAGCAGCGGCGAAGCGGCGACGCGGAAAAACGAACAAGGTTGGTAGAAAATATTCCTATCAAATGTATCTACATAACTAATTTTGCACTGGCGCATAATTTCGATAAATCAGAAACTTATTTACTTTAATGATATATAAATAAGTTTAAGACTAAGGGCCGTTTACTCAAAAATTTTTTCAAATTTATGCGGCCTTTAAATAATTTTTTTGAGAATGTGTTGAAAGGGTAGCTAAATTTTGAGAAAACGACCCAAAAACCTTAAAAAAATTTGTTTAAAAAACTCTCTTAATTTCCACTTGAAACTACGATTAACCACCCCTCCTTTAACAAACAGCCTCTCCCTGTGCTCTCAATCTCGCCCCATAGATAACGATTGCAAATCGAGCGAAAAATCTGAGAAATCGTTGAATTCAAATGATGGCTGCTCGCTAACACAACAATCACAAAATTCCCAACAGCATCAAGCACAACAATTGCAGCAACAACAACAACAACAACAACAGCACCAGTCACAAACTCAATCATTGGCACATCATCATCAGCCACAACAACAACAACAACAACAACATCATACCCATCACTTGCGACAACGTTCCGAGAGTCCTACTTTCAAACGTGAACCGCAGTCGGATCGTGATAGTCCCGCTGGTCGTCACAGCGCCGATCGTTTGGAACGTTGCGATCGTGAACACTCCGAATGTGAATCGCGTGCGCATTGCGAACGCTCAGAACGTGATAGCAGCGGTGGTGGGGGCGCCGGCGGCGATGCGTCTGCCATGGAGCGTTCGTTGAGCTTGCCACCCACTTCACAAGCGGAAGGTAATTTGGCGGCAGCGGCAGCAGCAGCAGCTGCAGCGGCTGCGGCTAGTGGTGGAAAGGCACCATGGAATTATCCGGGCATCGATTTGATGGCCACTGGCGCGTTCTGGCAGAACTATTCTGGTGAGTATTTAAAGTTTTATTGATACAAAACTACTGTAGTCACCAGTGTGACCAGGTTACGCTCTTTGAGCTAGATTTTTTATTTACGAACTGAACCCTTCTTTGCATACCCCGAAGTATTGTCGCCGTATATATAGAAATTATTTTGTGTATTGATAAGGATTTAAATTTTTTTTAAAGAAAACCGTTTTCGCTGAAGTGGTCGAGTTCGTGAAGAGGTTTTTAGATATCAATAAACTGATTTCGTTTTAACTTAATTCTTCAGAGAATATCGAACTTAACTCGGATAACTTAATTCTTCGAATCTTGTTGGAAATTGAAGGACACATATAAACTCAAATCAGTGAATCTACTAAGTGTTTTTGTCATGCTCATCTAACCTGGTCCCGGAACATGGAAATTTCAAAAGGGATTGGACCGTAGAAAAAGAGGTGTTAGAAAAAATTATTCGAGTGAAGAGGCGGTTAATATCTTGCGGGAATCGGGGTTATCGGGGTTAGGTCTGGATAGGAGGACAACCTGCTACATATCCAGCAAGAGTCGTAGCAAATTATCGTGGATCTCACGAGGAGCTCGATGTCTTTGTCTACCCCTTTGTCTACGGGGAAAAACCTAGCACTACCTACCGCTCGGGTCCAATAGGTAATAATGTGGGACCCGGACCCAGGCGGGTAGTTCCCGATAGATTTACAATATTAATAACAATTATTTAAAAAAAAAAAAAAAATTATCACAAAAGTATAGACTACAGAGGCAGTTCCTAGTGCAACATTCCAAAAGTAATTGCTTGCTCGGAATAATGTCACGCTTATGTTAACTCAGAGCATTTTGGTCCTCGCTGTGTAAGTGATGCTCAAATAATATCAGGGGGCATGCCGTGGTAGCACTTAATACGTCGGTGTTACAGTTTTGAAGCTTTATCCACTGTGTCGTGCTAAATTTCGGCGACCACACAGGTGTAGTGTAATAGTTTAAAACCAGCTGGCGATTCGTCTTGTACGTTTCCTACCGGCTAGCGATATCAGCACTTGTTTGTGGCTCTATACGTTATAGACAAAGCTGTCAAGGTAGGAGCGATATGTTTTGGTTGTAACTGATCCAACTAGATCAGTGCTGGTCGAGAGACCTTCTTCCTTTTTCACGACTTTATTTATAGGAAGCTTAAAAGAGCATAGCTCGCCTTGCAAGGAGTTGTCCATAGCTGATCTAGGCCGTAGTTAATAATTAAACATTAGACGGGTGGAACATGGAATACATATATGACTGCCTGATAGTCGAGATTGATATTGATTGTGACTAAAAAGTTCATTTCCCTGTAAGAAATTACTGTTAATTCGGTTAAAAGATTGCAATCTTTAGATGGGTTTCTAAAATGCGCATTTAAACTGGAGTTTTTAGGAAAGACTGCCAAAGTGTTGGGTTTCAGGTATAAAGGTATACTGTCCCGTTCTCCGGGGTGTTCCGCTTTCACTTTGACTATTTATTGGTAAACGAAAAAAAAACGGAGCTTTACGCGGCTTTTTATTCCAAGCATACGCTTTCTCACGCGGTTATTAGCATGTCCCTTTGTTCAGACATCACTTAACGATTCCTTTGCAATCTTTAAGGATGAGAAAGAGATAGCGGAACGACTTTCCAATTTAAAAGACCAATATAGCTGGTTTTGTGACAAGTAAAGATGCGCCAGATTAATTCCTCGTTCCTATAGCCTTCACATTAAAGCTTTGAGACCACTAAGTGAAATTTTAAAGAACATTCTGTCTACCCTAGCCAATACTCGATATGTTTCATTGTTTAGACCATACATACGCTTTCGCTTTTCAAAATCTATTAAACCTTAACATACCAAGCGTTGTATTTGAAAGACCCCAGATAGAGGTTTCGAGTGATTCTGCCATAACTACAACAATTAATTAGGTCTTAACTTTTGTATGTATGAAACTATGAGGCTAAGCTGTTACTTGGACAGATTAGGGTACCCCCGTTTATAAACATTTTTTATTCTTAATCTCTAAATATTACTCATTTAAAGTGAAAGGAAATAATTTATTTTTTGATAGAAAAAAATTTCGTATTTTCTTAATTTCTTCTTATAGAGTCCTTGGCTCAAGAAATCGAATTGGAACGCAAAACGCGCGCCGCCAATGCCGAGCGTGACGTGAAGAGTCCACTCACCGATCGCCCACCAGCATACTACAAGAATTCGGTGCTTTTCGGCAGCGCCAATTAAAAGACCACAGAGCAAAGTGAGTATTGCGAGAGCTAAATATGTAAATGGGAAATGCGATGATGTGCCGACGGCAAAGCTTGTACTTATTTGCGTAGTAGATGAGTTAGAAATCGAAAACGTTTAAAAGTTTTAAGGAAGCAAAATGAAGAAAAGTGTAAAAGCAGACAAAGATTTACAATATCTTTTAGTTATGATCTCAAAGTGCAATCACAAGAAGGGTGAAAATTGAAAGCGTAGTACGGAAAATAATGAAAGAAGAATATTGTATAAAGAAAAATTGAGTAAAACAATTAGCATTTGCTTTGATAGACGCGTTACGACGGCGCTCAGTATACGAAATGGAAGATGGCGTGGCAGGGCCGAAAGTGCTTACAAATACATATTTATATGCTTACAAGAACATTAATATGTATGTGAGGGTATAGAAGAATAAGGAATTAAAAAAAAAGCATTTACGTATAGCGAAAAGTAGCAAATAAAACTACTTACGAAACTTGTTACCAGTGAAACGCATACGAAAGTAGTGTTTGTATATAGTCAAGGCCAAACCATGTGGCGGCGTTCTTACTACATAGTTTGTATGTAGGTATATATTTATACATATTTTAATTTTGCGATAATAGAAGCTTAGCGAATTTTCCTTTTTGTTACGTAAACACTAAAAAATACAGTCTAAAAAATAATAAAAAAAAATACCTAATAGTAGCTGTAGTTGTTTAAGCACATTTCAGCGTTTATTAAATAAGTATGTAGAGCGTAAATAAAATTTTGTTTAATCGTTTTTGAAAAGCGCTTAGAAAAAAAAAAATACAAAAATTAAAAAAAAAAAAAATATTAAAAAATTGGTCATATATTAAAATTATTACTAATTGCCTAGATAATTAGCTCCGTAAGCCAGTGAGAACAGCTTTTCTTTGTTTGTAAGTAAATATAATAAATAGTAGGTTAACATTTAACGATTTTAAGATTTCTGTAGAACTGCTGAGTTAGTGCTTGGTATTAAAAAAAAAAAAAGTGTTAAAAAAATCAGCGATATTAAGCTTCCTTACAATTGTCAGCTTGTATGTATGTATGACTGCTAGTAGCATAAGCGTCGTAGATATAGTACGTACTTATACATATACATTTACATACTTACATCTACACACTCGTACATATAATTTGTTATAGGTTAAACGATTAGTTAAACATCTGATTGAAGCTGGACCCCTGCTTCGTCACCAAACCTTTGTAAATAAATAGCATAACATAGCATAGCATAACGTCCGCATTGACGATTTTTCGCCGGGGAGCAGCTTTTGTAGCGATTACATGTGGAAACTTGAAAAAAAATTAATTTATACACAAAAAAAATTTTTCAATTATAAATTCAGAATTTTTGGTAAATTCATTTGCCGAAAAGTTTATTTATTTTTCTTCATAAAAAAATTGCCGAAATTTCGTAATTTTTGTTTTTACAATACTTGTAATGAAACCCTTAAAATGTATCCTAAATTGTTCTGCTTAAATTTTTTTTTTTAATTTTTTATTTTAATCCAGAAGCAATGCAAATTAAAGTTTAGGCCTAATAATTTTTCTTAATCCTGAAAATAAATTTTTTTTAAATTAATTTTCTTTTGAAACCAAATTTCTAAAACTGTACTATGCAATAAATGCCATCAACCACTCAGTCATGAGCGCGCTACTACTCCGCAGGTCATGCATTGATTTATGATATCACGGATAAGTCTCCAAGGATATTAATGGCTTCAAAGGGATTAGAATAAATACCAATCGTCCCCCTGTAGAAATTGAGAGCCAGTTTTGCTATTTCACTCTTTCCTCGATATAAGGTTACCATGACTGATTTTTGTTCATACCGCGTCTTACAGAAATGTCACTCAGCCGCTCAGTCGCTCAGAAATGCCGTTCGTTATGTGGCCTCGGCCTAAGCTGGATGATGGCACTGCCCCTTGCGCGGCAGCAAGCTTAGCTAAGGATATGTTTATTGGTAACAGGTAATAAGATCAACTGAAATAATGTCAATTGACTTTATTTCCCACCATGGCGCGAAAGGAAGTCAATTGACATTATTACCTTTTCAAAAGCGAAATAAAATCCATTGACATTATTGCTCGTTCAAACAATAAATTTGCTTAGCCCAGCACACCACGTCACGCTACGCTATAATTAAAACGCCATTTTGGATTTCAAAAACCGGCACTAAAAATTTAAAAGGAAAAATTTTTACCTAATTTTTAAGACTTTTAACAGATTGCTTTTTTAGCTGGACCAATTTTGGGGAGAGGGGGGCTTCAGCTGATGAAGAATGCCTCATAAAAATAAAAACCGCGTACGTATGTATATCTTCTAAAATTTAGGGAATTTCGGCAATTTGTAAACATTTTTTTTGTTAACAATTTTAAGCGGAAATGTTATAACGCACTAAAAAAGCTTGTTAATGTACATATTAAAGAAGCAAAACGAAAAATTATAAAAACCGTAAAGCGACAGTATTTAATGAAAAATAAGGTTACATAACTTTAAATTTATAAGTAATTCACGCAGAAAAAAAATATTTATTTCATTTTGAAGTAACATTTCCATTCAATATTGAATTAGATACGATAAGCGCATTGAATATTTAAGTAAAAGAAAAATTACTTAATAATTAAATTAAAGAAAAAAATCCATTTAAGTATTAAGATATTGTAAGTAAAAGGAAAACGATAAAAATGTTTACATTAACAACAATTAAATACAATTAGACATCATAAAATAATGCATAAATAGTAATGTAATTAAATAAACGTCACACACACACACACACACACACGCGCGCGCGCAGTGCATACATACAAACAAACAAAATAACTTCTATAAATAAATAAATAACTACAAGCATTCAATAAATTATTATATACATAGCATACTTACATACAAACAAACATACATACATACATAGTTATCCATTTGATTGCTTCGCATTGAAATGCAAAATGAAAACGCAAAAAAAAAAACGAACACAAAAAAATCAACTATTATTAAACAATGCTACAGTAAAAATAAATTATTATTACTATTATTAAAATAAAAAAAATATAAAAACCGATTTTTTATTGCTTTTATGGTTTACAAACGATTGGTAAGTATGAGCAGGTATCCCGTTAAGAATTCGTTTACTACTAAGGAGCCGAGACGCTCTCTACTGACTTCGGGTATCGCGGTACTTCGGAGAAATTTACCAAAGTTAAAAATTGCTAAAGCTTCCGACTTTCATTCGGCCATGGTATCAAAAATGTGGCGCTTATATTCAGCGTTGCTTTAGGAATACTTTTGAATTAAACAAACTTTCATTCAAATCCTTTATTTTTGACATTTTTCACAAATTTTTATGGAACGCGGTTTTCTGATTAAGTTTTATTAAAAAATTAAAAATATCCTTTGAAATTATTACCATACATCTTTATTGAAGGATATTCATAATTAACAGGTCTAAAGAGTCTTCATCCACTACTTTCCGTGGAAGCCCTTGAGACGTATTGACGATAGTCTCGAACGCGTCCCACGTTTCCAATCCCAGAAAGTGGAGTGTGATTCAGAGAACGGAAGAGTCTTCTGGAACACCACTTGGACTTCGCAACTTGGCGGAGGACCATTCGAGGGGTGCTTCTAGGTACAGACTTTTCATCCACATTCCCCTTTTGGATTTTGAGGGTGATAGCGTAGAAGCCGTTGCCAACATGTCCGTTGCTCTCAGTGAGCACTGGGAGAAATTCCTCGTTAATCATCAATGTGACTTAAAGTTGTTGCTTCTTCACCTCGCCGAACTTTACTACTCTCCAGTCAAGGGTTGGCAGTGATTCATTGGAGATTTGGTTCGCTCCAGAATCTTTTGCGGACTTGGACCCGGGCCCTGGGGCGCCATTTGCTATCGATCCCCTTCCTTTGCAGTGCCACTTAGTCAGCGCCGTGCCATAGTTCCCCGATAGCGAAAATGGCTTTCGTATATAGACTGACCCATCTCTCAGCTACATAGAAAACCAGTTTGGTTTGGTTCTGATATAGACCAATATTTTGCCACAGAATCTCCTTGCATAATCGGTGCAAATCCACCGGGACTATCCCCCTTTCTTCGCCGTCAGGTTCCTCTTCGAGAGCGCTCCCCTGAACCCGGTTACGAATTTCAGAGAGAATTTGACTTTACCTCTCAACCACCTCCTTTAAATTATATGGCACGGAATCATTGCCGACTTCTATTCTTGTCCCTGTAATACCGGGACGGGGGTTAGAGTGTCCATCTTCTGACTTGAGACCCGCGTAGGACTCATACTCGGTTGGCTTTTTGTCCGTGTAGGGTGTCAGTAACATCGCTGCTAGGAACCCCTTCAGAGCTGCCGGTAGAGTGTTTGCTCGCCGATGCCCTAGATGTTGTCAGCTGATACGACAGGACTATCGGCCATAGAGATTCAGCTTGCCCGTCAGACATCTATTGCTAAAGTGTTGTTTGGAAGTTACTTAGTATTAGACGTGTAGGCATCTTCGGAACCAACCACACGGCTATCGAATTTTCTGCATTAGGACTATATGTAACGCCATGTCCATAAGCGACATTTTTAACCGTATAGAAATCCGAGACTGCGTTTTATTGTTTTGCCGAAACCTTACGGTGGACGAATAAAAAGAGGTTAGGAAAAGTACGGGCGGCCCCAGCAGAGGCAAATGCTGTGGTAAGTTCATCGTTACTCTCAGAGCCGCACAGGTAACCGAGACTTCGTTAAAATCGAATGGCCCTTACTGCAAACTATCCAGTGGGTAGAGATACGCATGACAGCCTCAATGAGGGTACGGTAGATTTAATACCGCTGGGTATGGATCAAAAGTGTCTAGTGAGAATAGGATCACCTCGGAAATGATGCGCCTTATCATTAGCTCATTACGGTCTTAATGGCACTGAGATATGCTTCATTCACACTCCGCATGATAATATTTACGACTCCTAGTTTCTAGCTGAATTTCATCGTAGCTGCAGTTTGAAGAAAGTTTTTTCGTTTCGACGTCCGACTTATTTATTATAATTTTTTTTTTTACAAAAATGTGTACATCACATTCGTAGCTGTAATACATTGTCTTTATGTCAGGGTTCCCCATAGGTATTTTTTGGGGATCTATAAAAAAAGGGAATTTTAACAAATGGTTAAATAAACATTTGGCAATTGCTGGAAGTCTCCTGAAGAGAAACAGAATTTCCGAAAGAAAATTAATCGGTCCTATGCTGAATATCGTCATCGTCATCGTCGACGATCGTCAGCGTATCAGTAACATGGCTGACGATGGCTGTATCGTCTCTTTTACTGAAGATAACGATATTCAACATAGGGCGGATTGATTTTCAACAATTCTCTAAAATTTCTATGAAATTTCTTTTTTTTCAAATAAAATACATGGAAAACTTCGAGCGCTTTGAGCGATTTCTAAATATTTTTGATTTAAAAATAAAAAAACAAGAACAATCCTAGGGGTGAGGACATTAAATCTCTGATTTAATTTTTCACATGCATATGTACATATGTATGTACTTATTTATGAGAAGCATCTCGTTTTATACTTGAATGTCTACAAAGAAGGAGACGGGATAATCTATATTCAATTTTACGGTGAAAATTTAGTTAGGCACTATTTGACGCCCTACTGTACCCATTGGAGACTATGATCTCTTAAGGGACTAGTCACATAATCCTTCGCATGGTATGCAATTATTCACGCATGCACAAAATCTCTGCGGATATTTGTCACTGTACAGGGCTGATGGCCACATATCTGGCAACACTAATCCAGTAGCCTCAAAACTGACGTACGTTTGACAGGAAACATTTAAAGCTACATTTTCAGTTTGGTAATTCGTCGCTGGTACAGAAAGTTTTATTGAAATTTTGATGTCAAATATGTACCTCGCTCTGGTCGTTCCGTCACTAGAAAAGGCCGGCACGCAAGCTATCTTCTTCTATCGGAGGCACATGCCAGTTTGAAACTACCGAAATAGAGCAGGCTTTTGTAGATTTCCCATCGTCATTTGAGAGGGGAGTACATCGGTCCAGGGCGCGAAGACGTTTTATGGAAGAAATTAATTCAAATTTCGAAAATAAAAAATATAATAAGGCAATTCATCCAAACGCGTAAATGCCTCATAACCACGTAAACCTCGCAAACTTACTCAGTTTTGTATGAAAAAAGATTTATTTACCAGGTTTACGCGGTTACGAGGTATTTTTGCGATTATCCTGAATAAGAAATACGAATTTGAGGATAGCTAAGTAAAGTGTTAATTTTTCGTAGTGGCAGTTTTCTTTAGAATTGTTTATTCTTCAAAATGAAAGCGAAGCTTTTCACATGCTTTCAAG